CGTCATTTGTGTTCAAAAAGTAAGGAAACCCTTGGAGCGAAGCAGTAAGACGAAATAATGCGTAAAACGTTTTAACATTAACCATAAAGGTTTTTCCTGAAAGGCTTAATTTAAGTAGCTCACCACTAGCGTGAATAAGCTCTCGTATACACTGTTCACAAGTAAATTTTGGATGTTTACTTCAATTTTCTGGGGACCTTACTATACCTCTGATTTTGGATGGGCGTATGTTATGTGGAGGGTTTGAGTTGAATTAATCAAGGAATCGCCTGGCTTCTTTAAAAGATGGACTGGAAGTTTGAGGCTCTACGATTAAGATAACCTAGCTTTCTTAGTTTTTTTTTTTTTTTTTTTTAACTATGAACAGGAATGAAAAGGAACCAGTCGAAAGCTGGAAGTTAAGGAATGCTTATATAGGTGTTAAGGGTTTTATAGATAGGTGAACCCTTTCGTTATGACCTTTTTTGACAGGTTAAAAAAAAAACTTTACATTCAGTCCCAGGTTTCCGTGGTCAGTTCCTTTTAATTTGTAGGGTTTACTAAACTAAAAAAAGAATTGGATATGTCTGTGATATGTTTGCGGTTTATTTTAGGACAGGCTTTGTCAGTTGAAGACGTAATATCAAGTGGAACTTCTCGCCCTCCAATTAGGTCCGTTCTTTCTTCCGCCGTTCTTTCTTTCGTCGAGTCATTCAGGAGTGTTCCAGGTAAATGCCCTCCGATGTCTTGAATGCTTCCCTGCTCTTTTAGATCATTTTGTGGCGAAAATGACGGCTAAGGTACAGGTCGAGTCTACCATCTCATTTGGCAACAGCGTTCCCCTGTCCATCGATATTCAGGTTTGATGGGGATAAACGTAAGTCTTGGTTCATTTTTTCTCAATTGCATTTGGTGTTTCGGTGTAATGCCGATATGCAACGAGCTTGAAAGTATGGGGAATGGATGGAAATGGAATGATCTGCTGGAAGTTAGCTGAAAATCCTACATATTATCTCGTAGATTAACTCTCGTTCATTCATTGTCACCCGCCAGATATTGCACGAGATGAAACCTTCCGGAGATATAACACGGGGCAGTCTCCATCTTGCAGGCCTTCATCGCCCGAATTTCATCTCTTGGGGCATCTCTCCTTCAACTTGTCCCTCGGAGGGTGGAAACGAACGGTAAGTCAATTTTCTTGAAGTAAAAACGTTTTTAAAGAACTTCAAATGGGTTTGACATCCCTTCATATAACGCTATGGATACATTTCTGGCGTTATCTTGCTGGAAACCTGGCGGCCTTAAGCGTTGCAGACGGAGGATGCGGAAGATCAAGTCCTGAACTTGTTTCCTCATGGCTGTAGCAATCGACACGATGGGGAGTGATGGTTGGAGATCTCGACGTGAGTCTCAAGAGTGTATCTTACCTGGCACTTTTATAAATTTACCCATTCTAAGGTAGGCGTTTCAGTTCCGCCTGAAATTGCATATTTAAATTAGGAGTTTGACTCAAGTCTTGAGGCATTCGTCTGCTCGTCCTCTCCAATGTCCGTTCTTATTTCCCATTTATAGTTTTATCGATGTGATTTTAATCTGTCGTCTTTACCCTCCAATAGGAATTTGAATACGTGTGAGGGATTTTCGAATGCTGGCACATATTTCTGCCTTTTTAAGCGTTTGAAGATATGAAACTCGTAGGTCGGACAGATAGTTTATATCCGTATCCACAAAGTTCCAATTGACCAAACTTTCTTTGCCCATCGATATCCAGGTTTGATAGACTAGAAATTGCATTTGTCCCCATCAGCATTCATTTTTTCTCTATCGTTTCGAAGGCACGTCGATATGCAAGGAATCCTGGTAACATGGGAAATGGCTGGGTTTTGCAACGCTCCCTGCAAGGTATCCTCTGGGTAATTGTCTCTTCTAGGATGTTTTTCGCTCGGATTTTCGTTTTTTTTTTCTTACTAGCCCCAAGACTAAACTTGAGAAAAGCCACCGGACCATCCTAAATTTACGAGCGAATCTTCCCTCGAATTGGGGCATCTCTGCCACCTTCACTTGCTGCGAGGAAAAGGAAGGATACGTGGTAAAGCTGTTTTTTTTAGCAATTTTTCTAGGAAGACTTTTCAACCATCTTGCTGGAAACATCACAATTTGTAATCTTGCTATCTTTTTTTCTTTTTTATAGATGGAGGATTACAGATTGGATCAACTCTCGTGATGAGCCTTGGATCTACCATCCCTTACTCCTCCCAAATGTACCCCTTGGATGTATTTTTTTTTTTCCACATTCGCGAGGAGAGTAGATATATAATATGCCTGTTGAAGGGTATGTGGGTCCTGCATGTTTGACTCTGTCATCGCTCTTCATAGGACGCAGCGTAAATCGTAAGGGTGGAATGCGATAAGAGGGACTATTTGGTTCATGACGGGTGTTCACGATTTTGGTTTAGTCAGTATTATCCTCATGGCGGATAAGGTTGTGTTTAGACACCTGTGGGGCTTAGAAGCAACAGAGAACCTATTGACAAGTGCGAGAGAACGATTTTTGCTTTTTGTGTCTTGAATAATAAGGAATATTTTGGTCCTGCGCGCAAGGGAAAATAAAGTCGAACTTTTCGATGTAGTACAGAACTGACCAAGAATGTCGCTTTTCGACATTTTAGGCTTTTCTTTTTGGAACTTTTCGGCGCTTGATAAGGTTAGAGATTCGGGCATTGGCTCGTTTCGTCATGGAGTCTAATGGTCTTTCCACATGGAGTCTTTGCCCAATTTGAGCTGGGAAAATTGTTCAGTATAACCATGGTACTATTAAAAAACCAGATTACAGTAACGGTGTTCATCTTCTGTAATGTTGAGGGGAGGGGCAGACCCTGAGTACATTCAGCTGACCAATGGCTCATAAGCAACATTTCCGTCTAATTACATTTTGCCAGACGATCCTCAATTCTGCGTGTACCCTGCGCTCGTTCGATTTTTGAGACTTTCATAGCCACGTAAATTACCATTATTGCACACCAGCTCAATGGTAAGCAAGTGTCAAAAGCCGTCCTGGAAGAAACTTGCCGTCAGTCTCGATGCATCGTTTGTACACAGGCATGCCCGGCCTAGCGTTGTCATGCTGCAGAATGACAGCGCTAGGTCACTTGGCTGGACAGCGTTGTCGTGCTGCAGGATGGCAACGCTGGAAGCCCTGACCTGTGAACTTCAATGGTTCTTAGCCTCCAATCAGTTTTCGATACTCGATACGAAGATGAAACTTGTAAGAGCTGAGATTGCGATTGTGGCTGACAAGCGGTAATAGCTTCTGGAATGGTTTCCCCAAAAGTGGTCTGGGATTGTCAAATTTCGTTTAGTGAGAATAGATTTTGGGCGGGAAACTGGGAGAGGGATTCAGTGGGGCCTCATCGATGGGCGATTAAGATCTACGTTTAATTGCCAAGAATTTGCGTGTTTATTCTGTCAGAGCTTGGAGTAGATTACTAAGACTTTCAAGTGAGTGTTGAGCGTCGACAACGTGGAGAATTGGTTTTTCTGGCTCGATGGTAACTGGAAGAAGCAACGACTCGATGCTTGTCAGAAGGGTCGGGCGAATCGGCGCGAAAGTGAGACGTGAACGCGGGCAGGAACCTGAAACCAAACTCTTAATCCGTAATGGTTCTTTGGAATATCCATGGCAATATTTGTATTGTATACATTTCTGTGAATTTTTTGCATTGTATATTTTGATAAATATTTTTGGGTCAAATGAATTTCCGTTGTCCACCAGTTTGACTCCCGTTTCATTTCCTCGATTAGCCTCAAACTTAAAGGGTGCGGAGTCCTTTCCCACCGCTCGCAAAGTCCCCCCTTTTTAGAATTGACTACTTGAAGTATCGGTCTAAAAGAACAAAGAGAAGGAATCCGGAAGAATGGAATTTCTCGGAAAGGGAGGACTCTGTTCCATGAAAAACTGATGGAACCTAATCTTGAAGCAAAGTCAAATATTGCTATGGAATACTTGAAGATGCAGAATAAAATAAATTTAATTACATAAATTTAATTCCAATTCCATTCCTAGTCGGTTCGAGGCGTCACCTGGAGTCTGCTTGTACATCTTGCTAGTGTGAAGCCGAAAAATTCGGTAATGATATTGAAAGAAGATATATTACTGTATAATAAACTTACTGTAGCGATAATATTGAAGGTAGCACTAGGGATAACTGGCATATTTAAAAAACGACTTTTTGTTTCAAAGTGAAAAGGAAAAAATGTATCAAAATGCACAGTAAATGCATCGTTTTAGTAGAAATAAATCAAATGAGGGAACATTTGTACATTAGGATTCCCTCATTGTGAGATGTACCTTCACCGTCAAAACCACCTGAATTGCATTTCAAGCTATCACTCTTCCTTCACTTGGGAAGAATAAACAAACCAGCTAATAAACTACATTAATAAGCCTTTCCTTTCATTAGCCGTAACTAATCGATGTAAACCTCGATTGTTTTCGGAAGGTCTTGGGTCATATTTCACGAATAATGTATGATAGAGCAGTCAGCCCTTGCAAGGGACTTCGCCATCACATTAATGGGTCAGAATCAAGTTGGTTCGGCACATTTTAGTTTACCAGATTTAAAGCGCGTCCAATTCTGAGCCCGAAAACGTGATTATTTTAAACGTTAAATATTCATAACATTTTGAGCTACATTTATCAAAACGCTCATTGTTTCACTCGACCCTTCCATAGAAAACCACTGAAGGGCATAGAAACGGTAGTAACGGATAGGACAGCGAATATTGCAAGAATGATGCAATATACGCTTGATCTTTTGCCTGATACGGATAGGGTTTGACGGTCTATTTCCACGATCCAGACAAGAGCCTCTTGATTTGGAACTTCGTCTGGAATGCGACCTGCCCATTTCGTATTATGCGTACACGGCAACGAGAGAACATATTGACGGGGAATCAGGAAAGCATTTTAAATTTACCTACTGCCCGACACGGTGGCNATTACTGTATAATAAACTTACTGTAGCGATAATATTGAAGGTAGCACTAGGGATAACTGGCATATTTAAAAAACGACTTTTTGTTTCAAAGTGAAAAGGAAAAAATGTATCAAAATGCACAGTAAATACATCGTTTTAGTAGAAATAAATCAAATGAGGGAACATTTGTACATTAGGATTCCCTCATTGTGAGATGCACCTTCACCGTCAAAACCACCTGAATTGCATTTCAAGCTATCACTCTTCCTTCACTTGGGAAGAATAAACAAACCAGCTAATAAACTACATTAATAAGCCTTTCCTTTCATTAGCCGTAACTAATCAATGTAAACCTCGATTGTTTTCGGAAGGTCTTGGGTCATATTTCACGAATAATGTATGATAGAGCAGTCAGCCCTTGCAAGGGACTTCGCCATCACATTAATGGGTCAGAATCAAGTTGGTTCGGCACATTTTAGTTTACCAGATTTAAAGCGCGTCCAATTCTGAGCCCGAAAACGTGATTATTTTAAACGTTAAATATTCATAACATTTTGAGCTACATTTATCAAAACGCTCATTGTTTCACTCGACCCTTCCATAGAAAACCACTGAAGGGCATAGAAACGGTAGTAACGGATAGGACAGCGAATATTGCAAGAATGATGCAATATACGCTTGATCTTTTGCCTGATACGGATAGGGTTTGACGGTCTATTTCCACGATCCAGACAAGAGCCTCTTGATTTGGAACTTCGTCTGGAATGCGACCTGCCCATTTCGTATTATGCGTACACGGCAACGAGAGAACATATTGACGGGGAATCAGGAAAGCATTTTAAATTTACCTACTGCCCGACACGGTGGCTGCCGAGCAAAATCAGTTCATGCGATTTTCATTTCCGTTCATGGAAGCGTCACAAATCATGCCCAGCCGTAATCAGTCTTATACTCAACTTTTGGTCCCGTCATGAATCATCAACCTCGTTCCTGGTTCGATGTTGCAGGAAAGCATCATTCGATAACGTCAAGTTTACGCACACCCTCATTGTTCAATTGCTTGAAGATACGTTATTATTAAACTAAAGACTTCATTTGCATCCGTTAATCCTTACCTTGCACCATGTTTCGTCATTGCTTTCCGTTTCAGCTCCTATCATCGTAGGGTGATACCATCCCTAAATTGGGGAGGACTCTTTTTTAAATGAATATTGCTAAAATACAATATGAATAAACATAGGTTTAATAAAAACAGAAGCGTAGTTCACCGTTCAAAAGAGAGCGATGTGTATGATATATGATGTGTCATGGCAGGAAACCTCGTTAAAGGTCAATGAAAGAAACCGGATCCCATCTACCTACTGCTTGTGTACTTTTTCCCGAACCATTGCTTCTGACTTAATATATATTCCATGATGAAGGCAGCGTCGGTTAATCGTTATGCCCGTCCCTGCAGTGTCC